TTTGAAATATAAACCTTCGAAGTATTACGTTATATAAACCTTTGAAATATAAACCTTCGAAGTATTACGTTATATAGACCTTCAAAATATAAACCTTCAAAGTATTACGTTATATAGACCTTTGAAGTATTACGTTGCATAGAACTCCGTGGGCCTCGTAGGGTTACGAAAACCTACACAATGTAAATTTTTGAAGTACTCCATTATATTTAAATTCGCGATGTATTTATTATACTTGTTGTCACATCATTAGATATATCTTTATAAACAAGCACTATTCCCTAGGATTCTTCTCATCATGTGAAATTATGTCTTCTATCGAGTGGAGTGATGTACAGACCCACTTCCTCATTGACGAATGAAAACAGAGAAATGCTGAATTTCACCTTACTCTGAATAAAAAGAAACTCTTAATTTGGGATGATATTGCTGAAAAAATTAATGAACATGAAAATACCAATTTTTTTACTGGCGTAGACTGTCACAAGAAGTTCGAAAATCTCAAGAAGGCTTATAAAGTAAGTAACTCTTGCTTAACCCTATTAAGAATCTAGCTGATAATATTCTTATTATCATTATTTTATTAGACAGCTGTAAAATATAGAAAGGGTGGGAAAAAAAGGAGTTTAATAAGAGAGAGGATCTATGAGGAGTTCTCTAGCGAATTTTGGCTGAAGCCTGGTAATTACACTTTTGGAAATCTGATGCTTATTATTAGTCGTTGGTAAACTTTATCAATATTGATATATTTTAATTTTGCTAGATCTTTCATTCAAACGAATACATAATGAGAGCGTTAGGATATTAAGCGAATCAACCTTTTCATCATCATCTTCCGTACTATCAAGATCACAAACATCAGCATCTAAAACTATTGTAAATACACCTGTTCCATCAAGACCGGTAACACCATCTATTGAAACATCTCTGATTTCTAGGCCAGTCACACCTACCATCCCTTCGTTTTCACAAAGTGCTAATGTCATCAATGTAACCATTAATTACGCTGGTATCGATTCCAAAGGAATAGATTCTGATGAGCAGAATTAGACAGTTTTTTTTATTAATATATAATGAATGATATCAATAGCAATATTTGCTAATAAACCTAGCTATTTTTTTATAACTTGTAGTAGAATATAAAGGCATATGTAATATTATTAATAGATACATTTAATAGACATACATTTTAAAAATCAATAAAATTCTTTATTAGATAAAGTAATACAAAATAAACTATATGTAATATGAGTGAACTATTATACTGTATGTGTGATCACATGAAATTTAGATCTTAGGCCTAATATCAAAATTTCCGCTTGAGTCTAGACAAAAATACCTTATTACATATTTTCGGCCGATAATAAAGGAGCTTTGTCATCCAAAGATTAATGAGAGTATGTTTTCTAGCAAGTTCCAGTTATTATAATTTCACGATCACAAGTAGAATGTATTCAAGAAGTATAAAAACCCTATATTCCACCCTTTTGTAAATACATTTCAAAAAAAAAATACTCATGAAATCAGAAAGATCTAATAGTATAGCTCTGCAGAGCCCATTGACCAATAAAGAAGATTTTTTTGAGTCTGATTATAGGAGTATCACTAATCATGAGAATCAAATTACTGCACTAACCAATTCTCAAGCCGAATCTGTCACCTGTTCTTAGTGTAAAGAACCTGATCCATTATTTGAAACTAATAGAACTAACTTGGAACCAGTCACGAGATTGTCCTGTCTTTATAACTTTCATCTTAGATATATTATTATTTCCTTAAAAAAAGATATGACATGTCCTCATTGTCAACATCTTATTTATCTTGGTGATAATGATGATG